AAATCAATGGCAAAAGATAATATTTATGTTTATGCATTGCCAAATGAAAACAAAAAACTCAAGCCTTTATTTGATATTAGACAAATCTGATTCAATCATATTTGAGTTTTATTAAAAGCATCACCAGGAACAGAGTGATGAAATTACGAAGTGTATGGCTTATATGGTGTTTTAAATGGGTATGTCTGCGAAATCTTAAGTTTGATTTGTTTGCATAAGTATACTAATTTTAATCAATGTGGCTTTTGGGTTTTTACATTTTTGAGCTTATAGCTTAATAGACTCAGTCTTTTAAAAAATAATATTAAAGCATTTTTAAAAAAAATAGGCTTTGAGTCTTTGAGTTTATAGCTAATAGACTCAGCCTTAAAAAATAATAACAATGCGGTTTTAAAAAAATTAGATTCTACATCTTTGAGTTTATAAATTTTATAATAATATTTAATAAATAAATAAAAAAATTTAAATTATTACATATCAAGTTTTAATAAAATTTAATTTATAATATATGAATGCTGTTAAAAAACCTGTCATTGGATTTTTAATTATATTAGTATATAGTTATTTTCTATATATTATACAAAAAGTTAACTATATACAAAATATAATTGAAATTCTGATAACAGGTTTTCTTTTTATAATATTTATAAATATGTATATATATATTATTGTAATAATGTAAATTAGATAATATTTAAGATATGTATAAAATAATAATAATAATATATAAACAAACTTAAGTTATTGTCTATTTAGAATAGAATTATTTACAAAAAAGCCTCAAGTTTTATTTATTTATTTATTTAAGACTTTTTATTATTAAATATTTTATTGCTTAGTATAACCTTATTATTTATTATAAGCCATAATATAATAAGTCTTTTAATTTAGATATAAGCCTTTTAAGTCTTTTTTTAATATAAAAATTTTATAAACAGATTTAGATTTTAATACATAGAATAGATTTCAATTTTGTATAAATAGACATGTTTTTTGGCTTTCTAAAAAAATATTTCAGAATTAATTCTCATTAAGAATTAATAAAATCTTTAAAATTCCTTTTTGTTTCAATATAATTAAAATAAACTTTTATAAATTTAATTTTATTATTTAAAACTAATATTCAATATCTGATATTATATCTGAAAATATATCTGAAAATATTTCTAAAAAAAACTAAAAGAGGTCATAAAGAATCTAGTGTTTAGGATTATTTTAATAAAGAATCTATAGGAGGTGGACATTATTCAGCAAAATGTTCTTATTGTTTTGAAAAATGGAATAGAGAAAGACCTGATGAATTAAAATCTCATTTAGTATTATATTGCAATAATATATCACAGAATGTTAAATTAAAATATTTAGAATTATTAGTTACTGATAATTCTAATAAAAAATTTAAAAATGATGAAAATAGTTCTAAAAAATTAATACCAAATTTTTATGAATCACCAACAAAAATTGAAAAAAGTAAAAAAAATAGAATTGATCAAGCATTAATTAGATTTTTTATATGTTGTGGTATTTCATTTTCTACTGTTAATCATCTATATTTTATAGATTTTATTCAATGTCTTTGTCTTGGTTATATGTCTCCTAAAAGAAGAATACTTTTATCAACTATTTTAAATCAAGAAATTTCTTCTGTTTTAATTAAAATTAATAAGGAACTT